GTGCGCTATTAACTCTTTATTACAAACTGTAATATGTAATAATTACTTATAATACAGTTACTGCTTGAAACTCAAGACGTGCGGACGCTGCGAGAGGCTGCTCGATGCGAACTGTGTCGTACTCCTGCACGTGCTGTCTTCGTTTCAATGTGAACTGTGTTCACCTGATGATTAACAACCCCTTAGTGATTATTATTTCTTTTAGAGATGACATAAATATATACACTCATAATAATTATTAATCAACAATTTTATCATTGATGGATACATCAGATGAACACAGGATCTTATCTTTAGTTTATATCCACTGAAGATGATTAAAACTTGAGTCGAAACGTCTATTACATATTAAAGTTTGTAATAAAGAGTTAATTGCGCACTGTCAACAGCGTTGATTCTCATTTGCCTCATTGTTTCACATTCTAAGAAATTGAAAAAGATTTTTATGTGACCTTCAAATGACTATCCAAGGTCAAATCAATAATATCATCTTATGTCCCCTTCGAAATCACAAAACTTTTATCCGAAACATTTTTTTGTAAAATGCCCTGTTCAAAAGATATTTGAACTTATTATTTAAAATGGGATATCTTGTATATATTATTTATATATGTAGATATATGCATACACACAAATATAAGATGTACATGGATTGTGTTGCGAGCGCGCGCGTGGTATGTGTGTGTATATGTATGTGTGTGTAATCATGTAAAGGAGTAAAGACCTATCCAATTTATACAGATGCATAATGCATATGTATAAAAAAATCAATCTTGCATCTAATAGCGTTTTCGATTGTTATAAGTTTAAATCAATTCAAGATTGATTAAACTGAATGTATCATAAAAGACGAGTTTTTTAATTCATCAATTGATAAATCGCATTATGCGCAAATATAACTTTGCTAATATAACTTTGCTTTGTAAAAGCAGTATTATGGAACTAATCAATCGAATGAATTAAAAAGTCTGAAGTTTTTTTAAAGCATATGACGAAGAAAAATATTAAATTAATAAATTTACTGTGAAATAACTTCTATGTAATTAGATTTTTGATATATCTTTTTAACTATTAAGTATCTATTATTTAAATGTAATTATAATTAATTTGATTATAACTAATAATTCAAAGCAAATCACGTGATGTTATTAATCATTCTCGGAACAATTAAAATCCATTGTTGCAGTTAAAACATTGTAATATAAATAAAAAACGTAATAATATAGCGCCCTTTATATTAAACGCGATTAATCAATTTTTCTCTTCTTATGAATTATGCGTTTGTGAGAATTTTTCTGGATTAACTCTAAAATTTACGTATAAAGTATATATGAAGATTAATTCTTAAGATATGATTAAGATATAAAGAATTTGACATAAAAGTAAGGTTATATTCATTGATCATTTTGAAAATATTTTGTTATGTATTTACAATTCGTGTCCAAAATACTAAAATATTTGAAATATGATATAAACATATTATTTATTTAACAATATGACAACTTCAACAAAAATAATTGCTATGATTATAAGTCAAACGCAATACGACTAATACTGCATACGTTTACGTCAAACTTTGTGTAACGACTTTGTTTACGACTACGACTTATGTTATCACTATTATCATTCCATATAATGACCTTGGCTTCTTTTGGGCCAACGTACGCCACATGTATTTTATTGTTTATTACTGTACTACTACGACTTATGTTTACGATTCGTAGCCACGATCACAATATAACTAGTATAAGCAATGGATTCGCGCAGATTTATTCGCGCAGGTCATATTGTTATGCAGGATTCATATTGTGTCTAATATCCGACATACGACATATCAAATCTCCAAAAGATATTCTAAAAGCGTCCAGAAAGTATCCTACGAATAAAAAAATATCTTAAGATCGTTTCTCTCGGACAGTGCTAAAGAGTGCAGTTCACTTAGCGCTAAAAATGCTTCGAATTATTTGGAACATTGTTTTATCGGGTGACACCCGTTTGACTACGTCCGGATTGACCACTAGCCACTCACAGCGCTTGAACAGTGGAAAAATTGTAGGCACCGGCCCCTGCGAGTGGCTAGTGATCAATCGGGACGTAGTCAAACGGGTGTCACCCTGTTTTATCTACTTGATACTACTGTTATTTGGTCTACTTGGCACTTTGTAATATTCCAAATATATACAATAGCACATATTAACACATCATTAATACGCCATAGATTTTCGCTTCCAATGCTACGGCTTGGAGAGTATGAGTGAAACATATAGCTTGAATGTACAAAATATGAGAAAGTTTAATGAATAAAAGTATCCCGGTAGCCAAATTTGAAGACAGATTATGCGCAAAATCTGTTATAAATTTCTGATGCTAGAAAAGCAATAGATTGCTAATAGATTCTGTAATATCTAAAAATGTTAGCAAATTGCTGCCAGAAACCTGACAAAATCTGTTGACATTCTGTGCCAGTAGATTGGCAGCAGATATCGAATACACTTTACACTTACTTTACTGCAGGCTGCCATCAGATTGGCGGCAGAAAACGAATAGGACCTGCGCGGCATAATTTGATGACAGGATTTGTTTAATTTTTGCTGCCAATTTATTGACATAGAATGTCAACAGGTTTTGTCAACAGAATGTAAGTAGAATGAGACCTCGGATGAAGTCAATCTGCTAACATTTTCTGATTAAATCTGTTGCCAGTTTGCCAACATTCTGCTAACATTTTGCTGACTGGGTATATAGGGCGGGGATGCGTTCCTTTATTCACTCCGAGTACTGTCAGTATTACGAATAGCGTTCCGATATAGAGAGTAGTACTCCGAAAGTACTGCCTTGAATTCTATGATGTCATTGATTTTGACGTGCTTCCTGTTGCGGCTATTACAACCAGCAAGGTAAAGCAGTTAGAGCACAAAGATGGCTGCTTCCATGAAGACTGAAATAACCTTGAATTGCTAGAAGAAAATAAAAGCGAAATAATAATGAAATAATATAATATAATAAATTATTATATATATTATGAAATTATTTATTATTTTTTTTATTGTTTATTATTGTAATATTAATATTATTTTTTATTATTATTATTTTTTATTATTATTAATTATTAATATTTATTATTATTATTTTACATATATATATATATATACATATATATATATATTATATTTAATATATATAATAAAAATTTAATTTTTTTTAATATTACATATGGCAGTTATTTTCAGTTGGAGTTTGAAAACATACTGCAACTGCATTTTATAATCTTGAAGCAGCTAGAAAGCGCGAAACTAAAACAGAACGATATCTTTATATTCCCATTAAAGCCTTCTTATTCTAAAAGTCAAATGACAGTAGTTCTAATTTCCTTTTTAAAATAATGATATCATAAAATTGCATTACCTGACTTAATTGAAATAATATGTATCTAATCTAAGTATTATGTTACTTAAATAATACCATTTATATAACAGATTTGATATCAATCAATAATTATTTAATTAATGCAAAAAATAAACAATATTTTTTATTAGAATAGAATACAATAAGAACGTATATGTACATGTTTAAATATTTTCTTATTTTTTATTAAATATTAATTAAATATATTTGTTTATATATCTGAGAAATTTGTCGCCATAAATTTCTAAAAATAATATTTGCATAATTAATGCAAAAAGATATATATTATTAATGTAATACAATTAACGTATAATATAATACAGTAAACGTACATGTTTTAATGCAACACCGGCGCGCCAAGTTTTTGTATGTCTGTTTGATTTTAAGGTTGCTTTGTATTTAAAAATATCGTTTTATTTAAAATATATACACAGAATACGTGACAGAATGGCAATATTAAAATTATTTTGGAATTTTAGTACTTATTAGTTAGAAAAATATATGTTTAATGAGACATTATTATATGAAGGATCAAATCCTTTATAATATATAATTATTAGGTCTTATTTTTTAAAACTTTGAAATTCTATCATTTGGATTTTAGTTTTTAAGAATTGTATAATAATTTACATAACTTGACGTTAATTATTGATTGATATCAAATCTGTTATACAAATTGTTACATCCAGACCCCGGAATTATTAGTTAAAGGGATGGGGCAAGGAAGGACGCACCGAATATCCTCTCGCAGGTAGCCGCTCTGGAGCGTGCCTGCGAGTCGAACGCACCGTACAGGTCAGCCAATATGGATCAACGTCTTGAAAAAGACGCTATGATTTCGACTGCGTATGTCCGTCGGTCCGTTTAGGCAAGAGAATTTAATCTCTTTTGCCTAGGATAAGACCATATGCGATCCTCGAGAGCGGGCGGGAACGAGCGTGACGAGAAGGTTAAATTATTAATGAATAAATTGATTTATCGTTAAAGTAATCATTTAATTAATTAAATGAAACAAAGGAAGTACAGAATTAAACACAAATATTTA